TTATTATTATTTTATTAATAATAATAATATTGTTGTTGTTATTAAGAACAACAGTAATGATTATTAATAATAACCAATATCACGTAACTTACCTAAATATAGGAAATTGCATTTAATGTATAATAGAAATGAATCAATACTGATTTGAACGCAAAGCGCCACACTGTGGACGATAGTTACGTTCCCTTGCAGAATTTATAGAGTAAACGGATTTACTTTTAATATGAAGAAATAATTACAAATACAGTTACCGGTAAAAATAAATAAAGATAATTAAGATAATTAATAAATAAATAATTAAGAGACCGTGATACAAGTCAAAATTACTCTGGCGCGAAGGGGAATTTTGGAAAGGAAATCGAAAGTAAAAGAACCGTTCCGATGTATTGTATTTGCGGACCGAGAACAGGTAAGCATCGCATTCACCAGACAAATAACACAACGGCGTTAAAACACACTTAAAGTATTACCATAAAAACGTCTAGTAAGTAATTTGTTGTTCGGGAAGGTTTCGTTTGGTTTGGTGATTACCTTAGCAAGGCCAGACCATGAATCCTAAATTAAAAGTAAAGTTGCGGGCGATTTAACTTATTTTTAATGATTTTTAATTTACGGAAACAAAATAGTACATTTATGAAGTTAATTTTATTTTCCTTATCATAGATATAGTAACTGAGCATTTAAATGAACGTTGCCATGTGAGCTTACTGAAATTAAATATTTTCTCCTTCTATTTGGTACAGGTCTTATGAGGTTGGTTCATCCAAAAGCGCACCATGCATACCGGTGTTTCATACACAGCCGCAGTCTGCTTTGACGCAGCTTTATTTTACCTTCTGGGCTGTGGAGCTGCTCCGTTGCTCCCTGTATTTGGCAGTAACGATGTCGCAGGACTGCTGGCGTTTCTGTGGTCGGCGGCTGCGATCAGATGGGGGCTGATCTGCAGCCTGTGGCTCCCCACCGTGGATCAGACCTCCAGACCAGTAATGAGGCGCTGGGCGGCGGTTCACTGCTTCCTCGGCTCGGTCTATGAGAGCTGCCGGCTAGCGGCGTTCGGGGGTCCGCTGGAGACGGGGATCAGCCCGGTGGGCAGTCCGGGATTCACATTTTTAACCTCCATAGCAGCCGCTGCTGCCTGTATGTTTTGGGAGGTCGCGTTCCCTGACACAAACGGGGAAGACAATGGAAAAGGTAAAAAGCAGAAAGCACGTGTGTTATTCATGAGAGTGATCAGCTTCTATAAACCTGACTACCTGCTTCTTCTGGGTGCCTTCGTCTTCCTCTCCTTGGCTGTTCTGTGTAAGTGTATATTAACCCGATTTGATACATTTAGAAGACATGCACACTCATTCGGAACTCTTCTGATTTTACGTTTTTGTATTTGTTCCAGGTGAAATGTTTATTCCCTATTACACTGGGAAGGTAATTGACATCCTTGGAGCTCAGTATCACTTGCACGACTTCCTGACAGCGATCTTCTTCATGGGACTCTTTTCAATCGGCAGGTTAGTAACAACATGCACAGCAGCCTCACAACTACTGTAATTAACGTAGAGAGCTTACACTTCAGCTGGGCAACTTTGTACAGGTTTAGGCCTACATTCATTTCTGTTGGCATCTGATTCAAGTATTTCCAAATGATCAATTACAAACCATCTTTCTTCACTAAAGGAAGGGGCTTGAAGAAAACCAGTATTTAGTGGAGCCTTTATATAACATTGATATTACTGTATATTTAATTGATAAATTTATTTCAGTTCTCTACAAAGCAACATACATTTGAGAAACCAGGGTCCAAAAGTCCCTATAGCAGTTGGGGTTAAGGGCTTTACTCAAGGGCCCAGGAATAAAATCATTCAGGGAACAACAGGATTCGAATTAAAGACCCACCACTCACAGGCAAAGCTGCTTAATTCACAGAGCCACACACCACACCAATAAAAATGCATTAAGAAAAAATGTTTTACCAAAAGAGCACCGGTTAGTATTTAAAGAACCCACTGGGGAAAACTGCAGGTTAAACCCTGGCTTTGACCTGGACTGTAACCGACTTTCCCTTTGCTGTCCCTCAGCTCGCTCTCCTCAGGCTGCCGTGGGGGTCTCTTCATGTGCGCCATCAATGGCTTCACCAGCAGAATGAAAGTCAAACTCTTCGGTTCCCTGGTGCGTCAGGAGATTGGCTTCTTCGAATCAACTAAAACTGGTAACTCCTGTACCATAACAGAGCATGCTGTGTTACATATGACTGTGCAGGTTTTAATGTAGTTTGCTGTGAAGACAGATATGTACCTCTGTAGCAAGTGAATGATCTGCAGCAATGCTGAATGTATTTACATGTGATTAGATATGAAAAGGTGGCAGCATGGTGGTGTAGTGGTTAGTGCTGCTGCCTCACAGCAAAAAGGTCCTGGGTTCAGTCCTGGGTCCTTTCTGTTTGGAGTTTGCATGCTCTCCCCTCTATGTGGGTTTTCACTGGGAGTTCTGGTTTCCTCCCACAGTCCAAAAGTGTGCTGAGTGGCATGTCTAAATTGGCCCTGTAAGTGTGTGCACCCTGTGGTGTGTTGGCGCCTGCCCAGGGTTGGTTCCTGGGACATTGACTTATTTAAATGCCCTGCCTTCATATATTCAATTTTCAGCAAAAATATCTGCAGGGAAAGTAGGCAAAGTTGTGTGGTAATCAAAATAGCCATTAAAAAAGCAAAACCAAATTATCCATTCTAATACGATTTTGTGGTGCATGATCATTACCCAACAGGGGACATCACATCCAGGCTGTCCATGGACACCA